ATAATAATAATAATAATAATAGCTACGACCCGCTGTTCAGATTCGAACTTGAGCCTCAAATTTCCTTGTAGCAAATCAAGTTCGCGCTTTCTAAGTTAAACCTCCTATCTAAGAGTCACAGCCCCTGGGCTGGACGAAACATGGAAGAGTAACTTTCATTAAAATAAGTCGATATTAACTCAATTCTAAAACAAAAACCTGGCGTAAATACATTTTGTTTCTATTACGACACTACATGTCAATAGATAGGCCTATTAGTGCCTACAGCACGATCTAGCTACTACTTTCTTTAGAAATGTAAAAACAAAAAACAAACAACCAAAGCAGTTGTACGAAGTGCAGCACTATACTACTAGATCTGAGACTTCTAAAGTTATTAAATGTGCACTTATTAACTTTATTTTGGCTCTGTTTTATCTCACAAAGTCCACATTTTTATGTGCAAATAAGTGATGTATATGCACTGGCTCCTGGCAGTGAAAGAGTTAAGTATTTTAAAATAGCTCAATCCCTCGGCAAACACTGTTTGATTGACCCGTTGGGACAGGCTTTGCTTGAGTTAACAAACACTATTTAAATGAAAGCCGTATTAATGAGGTCCTGGAGAGTCGTTAAAAAGTCTCTATTTTCCAAAAAGGTCTCTCTGTGTACATAGAAGCGTGGACATTTAAATGAATAGTAAATAAATGTTCTTTTTTCTAAGCAAGTGAACATTTTTGACAAGCTTTTTTGTGTTTGTATGTGCGTCTACACGTTTGTTTGTTTGTGTTTGTCTGTATAGCAGTCCCCTACTTTTATACGGATGCTCAAGCACTTACCGGTCGCTTTCACCGTCACGCTATAAATATAACTACTCCCCTCCCTTTTGCCCCCGACACACACACACACACACACACGCACACACACACACACACACACACATACAAACACACAAGCATACACACGTATAAATGTACAACACACGTTAACACTTGCAGCAACGCGTTAACACAAAGGTAAAGACTCCACGCTCATGCACCCTCATATTATGAGCATTCACATTATGGGTTCATTCTCATTGACACAACCATTATCAACACGAGAACTCACATACTTGAGCGCGTGAACCCATTAAATATACACGTGTACATATTTTACACAATTTCTCTCCAACGCTCCCAAAAATGTACACAAATCATTTATCCCTGTCTGTTTGTCTATCTGTCTGTCTGTCTGTCTGTCTGTCTGGTGACGTCGGTATTCCAGTGGTTAGGTTAGCGGACACGTAATCGTGAGATCAGCCCGGTCCGACATTGTCCTTGGGGAAAGCACTTTACGTGAATTTTCCCATTTGGCTCCGTCCTTTTGGAGAAGAACATTATATTTGGAGATCCT